ATGAAAACACTCCTGATTGCAATCTATGTCCCGAATGACAACCATGAAGAATTTTATAGAAAATTACATATGAAAATAATCGAACTGGACTATGCTAATATAGTTATGATGGGAGACTTTAATGGAATTGTAGACAATAAATTGGACTATACAGCACAGAAAACAACAAAGCAAAACAGAAAGACTCTTCCTAAATCCTTTTTTTAAATGATAGATGAAATAAATTGGCATATAAACTGAGAAAGGAGAAAGAATCAAGGAAAATATTGCAATTAATAGATGATCAAGGCCACGTTTGTTATGGAAGTAAAGAGAAAAAGGAAATTATACGAGACTACTATGGGAAACTATACACACAAGAGAATATTGACGAGGAAAGTGTTAAACAGTACTTACAGAATGCTAACCTACCTCAGATACCTAAAGAGATTGAAATAATGTTAGAAAGTAATATAACGATGATGGAGTTAACTGAAGCACTTAAGAAGTAAAACAATGGAAAGGCACCAGGCTCAGATGGACTTCCAGCAGAATTCTACAAAACACTACAAGAATCATTGAACCTTCCATTGCTACAAGTTATGAATGAAGTTATGTTAAAGAAGAAGATACCTAAATCATGGTCAGAAGCTTATATTACACTTGTCCCAAAAGAGGAGGCCGGCCCATTACAAATCAAGAACTATAGACCTATTTCTCTACTAAATGCAGATTACAAAATCTTTGCTCCAATATTGGCAGAAAGACTTAAAAAATACCTAAATAATTTTATCCACCCTGATCAAAATGGATTTCTGCCAAAGAGAAAAATCAAAGACAATATGAGAGTAATTTTGGACACTTTGGAATACTACGAGGCACACCCTGCAAAACAAATGGCTTTGATATTTTTAGAGGCATTCGATAATGTGAATTGGCGATACATGTTATTACTGTTGGAACAGATGGGCTTTGGTAAAAAATTTATCCAAGCAATAGTAGCTATATATCATAACCAAACGGCAAAGGTAATGATAGAGGGAGAACTGACAGACTCTATTGATATAAGAAAAGGAACAAGACAAGACACTGTCACCTTTGTTGTTTGTGTTGACCTTGGAAGTGTTAAACAGAAATATTAGAGAAGAAAAGGATATAAAAGGGATGAAAATTAAAAAGGAAGAATTTAAGTCTTTAGATATTTTTCTTGGAAAATCCCCAATAGGAAGAGTTCTGGTTCTAGGTCTAATTGTTCCTTGGTGATTTCCTGTGGCCAATTTTTGATTTTAAGCCAATATTTTTGAGCCTCTGGGCAAGACCACCACATATGATAATATGTTCCCTCTTTTTTTTTACATTTCCAACATATAGGACTCATTTTAGGGTACATTTTCGCTATTCTTGAAGGGGGTAAGTGCCACCTATAGAACATTTTATATGCATTTTCTTTGTATGCTGCTAATTTTGTTAATTTGTGATTTCTATTCCATACAGTCTCCCAGTCTGATAACTTTATGTTGTGACTAATATTTTGACCCCATGCGATCATACATCCTTTCACTACTTCTTCTAACTTCTACTTCCAGGAGATATTTATAAATTTTGGTAATATTTTTTTTTATCTGGGCCTAATAAAATTTTGTCTAATTTTTGTAGTTTCAGATATTCCGTACTCCTTTATGTCCTTTTTATATCAGCTTTGTATTTGGAAATAAGCCCACTAGTCTACCCGTTGCCCTTGGTATTGGAGCTCCTGTATTGTTTTTAAATTTCCCTGAATATCCAATAAGTCTTTACACTTTAACATTTTGTTCAGGTCTAAATTATTTGGTTGGGTCATCGCTTCCATTGTGGATTGGGATTTTTATGTAATGTTTCTTTTTTACTTTGATCCAATTGTTTATCAACGAATCTCTGATCAGATGTCTGTGGAAATATTTTTGTTTGGTGGATCCTGTGTCCCAAAGAAAAGCATGCCATCCTCTCCGAAGATCATGACCTTCTATAGCTAATATTCTTTTATTTAAATTAATCCAATCTTTTAGCCAAACTAATGTTGCTGCACTATAATATAATTCCCAGTTTGGCAATCCAAAGCCTCCTCTGCTCTTCATATCTTGTAGTAGTTTCATTTTTATTCTGGGTTTTTTACCCTGCCAAATAAATTTTGATGTCATTTTATTAAGATTATCAAAAGAGGTCCTTTCTGGTTTAACCGGAATGGTTTGGAATAGGTATAGAAATTTTGGTAATATAGACATTTTTAGGGCTGCTATTCTTCCTAGCAATGACAATTACATTTTAGTCCATAATTCTAAGTATTTTTTTGTTTGTTGTAATAGCTTATTATAATTATTCTCCTTTATCGCCTTACAATGTGCTGTCAGCCATATTCCCAGGTATTTAATTTTTCTTGTTGTTTGAAGTCTGAGCACTCTTTCTAATTCTGTTGTTTGTAAATCTGTTAATTTTTTTTGCTAAAAGTTTCATTTTCTGTCTATTAATTTTCAATCCTGCCACCGCTCCATATCTTTCTAATTCCTTAATTAATATTTGTCCTTTTTCTGTTGGGTCTTCAATAATAAAAGCCATATCGTCTGCAAATGCTTGCAGTTTATATTCTTCATTTCTAGTTTTCAATCCTTTTATTTCGGAATTTTGCCTCACTCATTCTAATAATACTTCTAATGATAATATGAAGAGCAGAGGGGACAGCGGACAACCTTGTCGGACTCCTTTCTCTATATTTTTTAAAGGTTGGGTATTTTCTCCATTTATTATGATATTTGCTTTTTGTACTGAATAAATTGCTGTTATAATATTCTCAAATTTGGTGCCGAAATTCATGTCATAAATTTGCTGAATCATAAATTGCCAATTAAGGTTGTCAAAAGTCTTTTGAGCATCCAAGCAAACAAGGGCTACCTGTTTCTCCAGGTGGGCTTCATAATATTCCAGATAAACCAGAGATATTTTTATTGGTATTTTACCAGAAATATATAGTAGAGAATTGAAATATTTGATTGTAAATGTATTAACAGCAGCTAGAATTGTGTTTGCAAAAAATTGGAAAAATGAGAAAATACCAACGCAGGAGGAAGTCATTAAGAAAATAATGGAATGTGCTGAAATGAGTAAATTGACATTTGAAATTAGAGAACAAGAAGATAAACAATATTACAAGATACGGGATTTATTTTATCAATGGTTAGATAAAAAATATAGAAATGATATATCTTAGATAACTTTATATTACAAGGATAATAGAATTATAGATGATATAACATAATGTATTATTATTGGATGGATTTATGATAGGGTATTGAATGTTATAATATAAATTAATCCAAAATGTTGAATGTCTCGCATAAAATGATGGAATAATAGTTATAGTCAAATAAATGATTAACAATGATAGTAATACATATATATACATATACTAGATGGATAATATGAGAATTTATACAAACTATAAGTGAGGACTATGGAGATGAAGCACAAAAGACTTGTAACCAACCGACACACTGTATGTAACTGGAAGATGGTTTTATGATTTGTTTGTCTATGTTTGTTTAAAATAAAATAAAAATAACTAAAAAAAAGACTGCTGCTATTTTTAAATTCTTTATTAAACCAAGCTCCTATAACTAGAGAGTGATTAATAAATATTACATTTCTGCTCATTTTTCTTGCCATTCAAATCAAACCAACCTTTTTAAGGTCAAAGATAAGCATAAATTGAGGGTAGGGTACAAAGAATTTTAAAATATAAAAAGAAAATTAAATAAAAAGTTAAAAAACATAAAAACAAAAATGCTGTTATAAGTACCCATTGTTTTAAAACTGGATTCTGATATATTACCCATTGCATCTCTCTCTATGCAGCATAATTGTACTGAATATCTAAGTCATATATTCTATTTATAACCAAAATGTGAAAGATATATACTCATCATGACTTAAAAATTAATTGTGAACAAAGTAGGAAGAAATCCATTCTTTGCTTTAGCAAGTAATTATTACCATTTCTGTTCCATTTGTCTTCTTTTAAATATTCCAATTTTGTCCACATTCTCAAAATTTTTAGTAGTGTTCAACATTTCTTCTCATACAAGAACTCTTGGTCCAACAGCTTTGACCACACCTTATTTCAGAAACATTATTGATTTTTAAACTTTTTTTCCCTATCTTGCTTTTAGGTTTCTTAGTAATAATACACTGGGCAAGTGCTATGGGTCAGTTATAATAACAAACTTTTCTCTTTGTGACAAGTTTTCTTCTATGTATATTAAAAATAAAATCTGTAACTTTAGACTAGGATGACTAAGCTAATTATTTTAAAAATGGCTAATAGCTCTTGTCATTGACACATAATTAATAATTATTACAAATGTGTTACACCTCAAACACACACACACACACACACACACGAGGAAAGATTCACATTTACAAAATTTCCATTTTGTGAATTTTTTATTTTTATTTTTACTGGTTTAATGCTTTTATTTGCTGGCATGTGTTCAATAAAAATTGATTGGCTGATAGAAATAATATTTTTATAGAGAAAATATTGTATTGTTGTATTGTTCAGAAGTCATGTACCAAAAAGTAAGGAAATGTTTAGAAGAATATGACAACCAATGTGAACATTTAATATAATTTATATAATACATTTTATCTGGGGGCTGACTTTTGTTATACTTTGGGTGTCAGAGTTGGGCATAAGGTAGAGAAATCCTAGATTCTCAAAAATTGGGTCTTTTGGGGATTTACTATGCTCTTTTTATTTTTATGTGTTGAAGAATGCAGAATAGATTTTAGAATATGCTTATAGCAATAGTAATGATGAAAATTCTGCTAATAGGGTGTTTTAAAGTGATGGAGATATGTTTTTGGAATACATAGAATTTTATGGAAACTTTAATAATTATTATTTTTTAAAAAATGCATTTAACACATTATTGACTGATATTTTAAAATTTTAAAAATATGAGATTGGCTTTTTTGTTTTTGTTTGGCAGGATGGGCGGTTACGAATAAATGACCAGCTTATTGCAATAAATAGTGACTCTTTGCTTGGAAAATCAAACCATGAAGCCATGGAGACTTTGAGGCGTTCTATGTCTATGGAAGGAAATATTCGTGGCATGATACAACTGGTAGTTCTCAGGAGGCCAGAAAGGCAAATAGAAATGGTAAGTGAAACATTTTTTTATCCACCTATCTTTGTCCTTTTTGCCAGCCAACTAACAAACATATGCAGGAAACACACAATAGTAATGGGAGACTTCAATTATCCTGATATCAATTGGAAAACTAATTCTGCACCAAGTGAGAAATCAAATAAGTTCCTAACCAACCTAGCTGACAACTTTGTTGTCCAAAAGGTAGAGGGTGAAACTAGAGGGACAGCCATACTGGACTTAATTCTTACAAACAGAGAAGTGATAGAGGGAGTTGAAACTGCAGGAACCTTGGGTGAGAGTGACCATGCTATACTAGAATTCAACATAGCACAAACACATGCAACAGAACATAATGACACCAGAGTCTTGGATTTTAAAAGAGCTGATTTTAATAAAGTCAGAGAGAACTTGGGAAAGATTCCATGGATGAAAATCCTAAAGGGGAAAACAACTCGAGAATCTTGGGAAACTCTGAAAAGTATGATCATAGAAGCCCAGACCAGCACAATACCACTGAGAAAGAAAAATAAGAAATCCAAGATGAAACCAGCATGGCTGCACAAAGATCTCTCTGGCAAATTGAAGGAAAAAAAGGACAAGTACAAAAAATGGAAAGAAGGACATACAACTAAGGCAGAATATCAGCAGATAGCCAGAATCTGCAAAGACAAAGTCAGGATAGCAAAGGCTCAGAACGAACAAAGACTTGCAACAAAAGTCAAAGATAATAAAAAAAGTTTCTTCCAACATATAAATAACAAGAAAAAAATCAAGGAAACAGTTGGTCCACTAAAGAGAGAAGATGGCAAGGAAGTAACAGGCAACAGAGAGAAAGCAGAACTGCTTAACTCATTCTTTGCATCCGTCTTCACGCAAAAAGAAACTATAGCTCAACCCACCAAAAACATAACTGTAAAAGACAGACCAGAAATAAAAGTTAAAATAAGGAAAAAAAATAGTAAGAGAACACCTGTCCGATCTTGATGAAAACAAATCACTGGGGCCTGATGGCTTACATCTCAGAGTTTTAAAGGAGCTGGCAGAGGTCATCTCAGAACCACTGCACCATATCTTTCAAAAATCCTGGAGCACCAGGGAACTACCAGAGGACTGGAAAAGAGCCGATGTGGGGTTCACATCTTCAAAAAAGTAAAAAAAAACAGACCCAGGAAACTATAGACCAATCAGCCAAACATCAATAACCAGGAAGATACTGGAAAAGATAATAAAAAATCAAATCTGCCAACATCTAGAAACAAGTAAAGTAATAACTAGCAGTCAGCACGGCTTTGTTAAAAACAGATCGTGCCAAACCAACTTTATTTCATTCTTCAACACAGTGACTAAATTAGTAGACCAGCAAAATACTGTGGACATAATATATTTAGATTTCAGCAAGGCATTCGACAAAGTAGACCACAACCTACTTCTTAGTAAGCTAGAAAAAAGTGGAATAGATAGCACCACCACTAGATGGACTCGCAACTGGCTGGCAAACCATACTCAACGAGTAGTCCTTAATGGGTCTAAGTCTACATGGAGGGAAGTAAGCAGTGGGGTGCCACAAGGTCTTAGGCCCAGTACTCTTCAATATCTTCATTAACAACTTAGATGAGGGAACAGAAGGGGAACTTACCAAATTTGCAGATGATACTAAGCTGGCAGGAATAGCTAACACATAAGAAGATAGGCTCAAGATCCAGATGGCTCTTGACAGACTAGAACACTGGATCATATCTAACAAAATGAAATTCAATGTAGAGAAAAGTAAAGTCCTACACCTAGGCAAGAAAAACCAAAAGTACACATATAGACTGGGTGAAACCAGGCTCATTAGGAGTAACAGTGAGAGGGATCTTGGAGTCTTAGTGGACAACCAGCTAAATATGAGCCAGCAGTGTACAGCAGCAGCCAAAAAAGCTAATGCAATCCTAAATTGCATTAACAGAGGGATAACATCAAGATCAGGGGAAGTACTAATACCACTCTATAAAGCCTTAGTAAGACCACACCTAGTGTACTGTATTCAGTTTTGTTCACCATATTATAAAAAAGATGTTGAGACTCTAGAAAAAGTACAGAGAAGAGTAACCAGGATGATTAGGGGACTGGAAGCTAAAACATACAACGAACGGTTGCAGGAACTGGGCTTGGCTAGTCTACTAAAGAGAAGGATCAGGGGAGACATGATAGCAGTCTTCCAATATTTGAGGGGCTGCCACAGAGAGGAAGGGGTCAAGCTATTTTCTAAAGGCCAGACAAGGAATAATGGATGGAAACTGAATAAGGAGAGATTTAAGCTGGAAATAAGGAGAAACTTTCTGACAGAACAATCAACCAATGGAACAGCTTGCCCTCGGAAGTTGTGGGAGCGCCATCACTTGAGACTTTCAAGAAGAGATTGGACTGCCATTTGTCAGAAATGGTGTAGGGTCTCCCGCTTGGGTGGGGGGTTGGACTAGATGACCTACAAGGTTCCTTCCAACTCTGATTATCTGTTATCTGTTATTATGAAACTTTTATTATATAGATTATTATGATAATCTATCTATTATATGAAACATTGTACTGGAATTGCTGTAATTAACACTGATATCTACCAACCTTGATTGTTGATACATAATGCTAAACAATTCTGTTTTTGAGAACTGCTAAACAGGAAAAGATTCATCTCAGATATGAGTAAAAAAACCATATTTTTTTTATTTAATGTTGATTTGTTCCTTCTTCCTTTGTGAAGATTCATAGGTTGTCCAAGATGGGCATATTGTCATGTATTGTTGGTTTTCTTACTATTATCAAGAAATGCAGCACAAAATACAAGTTTTTTCCAACATACTTTGCTAAGTTCACCATTAGTCAGTAATGTACAAGTGCACACTTTACTTTCTGCCATTTCTAAACTCCCGCAATGAAGACTTCTTGTCATTATTTCTTTTACTATGGCCTTCCAAATACCCGAACAAAACTGTATAGTTTCTCCTCCTGCCATTGCAATTCTTGCTTTATAAGAATGCATAACCCACCAGAGGGTCTCCCTTTGTTTTTTGTTTTTTGGGCTGGTGAGGCCTATCCCTGAAAGCCCAGCAGTTGTACTGGTTCATTCACTTCAGTTAACCAGGCTATTACATCGAATCTAGAGAGAAAATTCATTATTCCTCTATCAACCATCCCTTTCCAGCCAGCCATGTTCCAGGTCACCATCTGTATGGGATTTCCAGAGACAAGGGGATCTGGCTTGGTTGGTTGGCTAGGTGATAAGAATGCCGGATGTCAACTTGACGTTAGAGCTGGGTTGATATTAATTTCATAGAAATGTAGAATTAAATTGTCCAACATTTATTTGGTTAGTGATGACGGGGTTTGTGAACATTCTTTTGACCAACACATCACTTGGCCCATAAATCTCCCCCCCCTCTTTTTACCATTCAGCCAGCAAACCCAGATGACAATGGAATGGAATAGAATAAGAATAAGAATTAGAATTAGAATACAATAGAAGAATTGGAAGGGACCTTGGAGGTCTTCTAGTCCAACTCCCTGTTCAGGCAGGAAACCCTATACACTTGTGTTAAAATATAAATGATAAGTACAGTACAGTTTGTCTTAAATCCTATTTTCTATAATACACTAACAAGACTCATCATATCATTTTATGCTGTCCATGAAAAATCAAATACTGTTCCCAAATTGCAAAGAAAATATGTATTTTTGGTAAATGATTGCTAATGATTGAGCTATGATCTTCAATTTGTATTTTTGCAACTTCCTCAATCTCAACTGTATCAATGTGCATATATGTATTATGGCTTTTCTTATAAAAACAGAGGTATGAAATGCAATATACCTTTTCCCCATGCCTTGTGAAAAATGCCTAATGAACATCTTCTTGAGTCTAACTCATTTTAAACACTATTTTTTAAAATAAAATATGTTTGCAATTCAATTGTAATTCCATTTGGAGCTAAAAAGTATTGCAAAAAGAGCCATGGCTTGTTCTTTCTGTTGCCTGTTTAAAAATCCATTATTATTTTTATTGGCTGGGACACTAATGGTATCTTTTCATGACTGTTCTGTTTCACTAACTGGGGCAGTGTACTGATTAGGCAGTGTACTGATCAGTTGTTGAGCAATTGATTTGGTTGTTTATCAAAGACCTAGAAAAGCAGGTTTTCATTCCATTGCTGTTCATTTAAAAGTACCTCCTCATGAGCTACCTGCATTCAAGCTTACGTGCAATGTTTTTTTAACCCCAGAAAAGAATTACAAATTGTAGTACAAATGTATAGTAAGCTTATGGATTTTTTTTTAAAAAAAAAAGTTGAGAAGAGATACTGTACTGGGTAAAAATGCCTTATTACTTATTAATAGAAACTTTAATATTCTAGTTAAATAGCTTCTATATGATTTCCTATAATAGGACTTTCAGTAAAGTGCTGAGGAACAACCTCACTCCTGCTGGTCTAGATCAGGAGCATTACAATGCTAGGTCAAGCTCTCACAAGAGTTGGTTAAAGACGGAAAATGAGAAAATAGGGATTTTGTTGAAAATTAGTTTGGCAATCTGTTTCCATGGAAATATTTTTATTGCCAAATATTATCTTTATATGCCTTATATACAAATAGAACTATACAGGTGTTTTTAAGTCTCTGATTACTGAAACTCTTAAAAATATGTCAAAAGTTAAAAAAAGGAGGTGGGGGAAAAAATCTGCAACCTGGAGAGTATAATAGAAGGAAAAGCAAATAATTCAATAGATCACTTAAGAATAAAAAGAAAAAAACCTTAAGAGGAAAATGCAAGAGATTAAAATGAGTTATTCATAATGTTTTGGAGTGAGATATGGAAATACTAGAATATTTAAAGGAAGATAACTTTATTTGCAACAACCTATGGGAGAAATAGGTTAGGAAACAACACGAGGGAGGTTTTAAGAGGCAAATTGATAGAACATGAACTGAGTGTTTGTACACCAATTAGATCAAGGGATCATGCAGTATTTGTTTGT